ATGCAATTATTTTCAGACAGTAGGTCAGTGGTGATGGGCTCTGGGAGAGATGACTCGACTGTTTCCCCCAGCACTCTCCCCTCACTGGGCCTTCTGTGAACCATCTGTGGTCTGGAGATAAAGCTAAAAGAGAAGTAGAAAGATCAAACCAGGAGGAGGGGGAAGGGGAGGACGAGCATGCCCAAAGAGGAAGGGGACTGGAGTTAGCTATAAAGAACGGCAGGTTAGGAATTGTATGGGTCTCCACACACAGGAAGGAGCTCTGGTAGTATAGTGCTTACAAGTCGGGCAGTTAACCTCAAGGTCAGCAATTCGAAACTGCCAGCTGTTCCAGAGTTCCCATAAGATTTACAGCCTTGGAAACCCTATGCAGGGGCACTATGAGTCGGAACCAACTCCACGTCACGACACCACCACCATTACCACCACCACATACAGTCGTCTCTGGATGAGTTGGGATCGACAGGACAGCATGTAACAATGATTAAAATTCCACCGGAGACAGATATGAGAACTCTGGTGGAACAATGGTTAAACATTCGGCTGATAACCAAAAGGATGGTGGTTCGAACTCATCCAACCACTCTTGGGACGGAAAGACCTGGCATCTATTCCATTGAAGACTGCAGCCTAGAAACCCTATGGGGCAGTGCCACTCTATCACGCAGGGTCACTATGAACTGAAAATCGACTTGGTGGCATCTAACAACAATGACATCTGATATACAAGGCATTAGGCTGACACTTTGGAAGCAGAGAGAATGCAAAATACCAAGAACAGCAAGGTAAGCCTGAAAAATATAGCAGAAAAAAAGTCAAGGAAGCAGTGAACAGTACAGGGTTTCCTCCAGAAATCCTAAGGAGTGATAATGAAAATAAAATAACCCCAGGTCCTCATCTACTTAGACATGGACTGCTCAAATCCTCATCATCAGCATTTGAACATTTGCTAGCTACGATTCAATATGCATCAGCCAGTAAGTCTACAAGGTTCGTTACAGCACATTTTAAGCAGCAAAGCTTCTAGGCTCTAACACTGTCTTTCCTCTAAAAAAAAATATATTGATGCCTGAACTATTGATCCCTGAGGATTTCAGGGGGCAAATCTCCGCTTCTGAGTGTTCCGGGTCACCTCTCTTACTTTAGACTTCCACAACATAATTTCCAAAACAAACTGTTTGCTGAAGGGAAAAAAAAAAGTCTTCTGGGGATTCTCCTGTAGAGAAACAAACACCAGGTTAAAAGGGACAAAGAAGGAAAGTGGAGAGAGGAAAAACAAAAAGGAACACAGTTCTCTTTTGTTTAAACAAAGTAACCCAAGATAAATCATTTGCTTAGCAGCCTGTAGGGCTTCCCATAGGTGGAGGTGATGGGGACATTTCTTCCTCTAAATAAACAGAAGCAAACTCATTTTCCCCGTGCTGAAAGAATATGTTGGTCACGCTGATTTTATTAATTCATACCGACAAAGTAAGGTCCCTGAACTTTAGAGAGAGAGAGAAAAGGAGGGAAGAAGGGGGGAGAGGGAAGAAACAAACGAATCCCGAGGCAATTTTTCCAACATTCTTGCTGGCTTCTACTCTGGTAATCTAGGTTACCCTTTAGGTTACCCTGAGATATAAATAGCATTCATTTCCTTTCTCAGGCCAGATAGACTTTAATGCTTTGTTTCCTGGGTCCAGGGGGAAAAACACATACAACACATTTCATTCTAAATTTGAGTGACTACAAAGCTGGCTCTCTGAGTCAACCATGGAACAAGAAAACCATTTCAAAAGACCAAAATGTGTCTATTATTACAACTTTTTTTAATTGGCCGAGTCGGAACAGCCCAATGGGACTTCTGAGTAGCTGTTTCCTTTCGAGTGCATAGCTCAGAATCCTCCAGAACATGGCTCCGTTTGCATGTGCCTAGACTGAAATCAGGGTCCAGGGTGGCACTGTAGGATCAACATTGGCCTGCTAACTGTAAGGTCAGCAGTTGAAACCCACCAGCTGCTCCTCATAAACCCTATACAGGATAGCTATGAGTCTGAATCTACTCGAGAGCATTTAACAACAAGTTAAAATCCAGATGAACATCCCACACAAGAAGGACAAGGAGGAATGCTGATTCCTATGCAGGATGCCCCAAGGGTTCTCTGGAAAAGCACACCTTCAGTTGCTGGACAGAAATTTAAGAGGCATTTCTCCCAAATCAGACCCTATTCTTAAATTTTCAAGGAAAGAAGATGCTATACAAAGAACAGCTAAAGAAACAGAGAAGGCCCTACCTACAACAGAGACCTGTCTCAGGCCAGTGCATGGTCTTTGTAGCTAAAGAAGCCCAGAAGGTCAGATGCACTGCCACACAACCAGAGCACTGCATCTCATTTCAATAGCACACAACTTAATTCAAAGACACCAGTCTGAACCAGAAGACTTTTCTACTACAATCTCTCACCCTGTTGTTGTTGTAGCGGATTCTGACTCACAGTGACCCCATATGCGTACAGTTGGAACAGTCTGCTCCTGAGGGTTTTCAAGGCTATGACCTTTCAGAAGCAGGCCTGTCTTTCACGGTGCTCCAACTTTTTACTAGTAATCCAACGCTTAACCCCCTGCACCACCCAGACACGTCTAAGCTTATCCTGATACCCCAGATTCAGCAGAGACAAGACAAAAAAAGAAATGGATATTTTGGAGAGACCTTTCTTTTCCCTACCAACCCATGAAGACCAGATACGCTTTCATCCCAAAATACCTGCTGGTCCAACTCTACATAGGAGGGACCAGTCGCTGAAGAAGGATATCATGTTTGGTAGGGTGGAGGGTCAGAGAAAAAGAGGAAGACACCCAGCAAGATGGATTGGCAAAGTGGCAGCATCAACGGACTCAAGCGTGGGAACGATAGTGAGGTTGGCCCAGGATCGGGCAGTGTTTTATGTTCTGCTGTGCATAAGGTCACTATGAGTAGGTGCCGACTCAATGGCACCTAACAACAACAAACAACAAAAGACCTTTCCCCACCACTCATCTCAGTTTTGTCGTATTGTGGTGGCTTGAGTGTCGCTGTGATACTGGAAGAAACGCCACCAATATTTTAAATACCAACAGGGGAAACCATAGTGGACAGGTTTCAGGAGAGCTTCCAGAATATGACATACTAGGAAGGAGAAGCAAACGACTTCTGAATGTTTAGCCACCGAAAACCTTATGACAAGCAGCAGAACACTGAACATGAAAACATATGACTAGCACCAGAATATTGTCAGAAGACACTCAAAATACAACTGGGGAAGGGATGCCTCCTCAAAGTAGAGCTGACCGTGATGATGCAAATGGAATAAAGCTTTTGGGACCTTCAACTGCTGATGGGGCACAACTCAAAATGAGGAGAAATAGCTGTAGACATCCCTTAATAATTGTAACATGGAATATACAAAGTATGGATCTAGGGAAATTGGAAGTTGTAAAAAATGAAATGAAACACATAAAGATCGATATCCTAGGCATTAGTGAGCTGAAATGGACTGGTATTGGACCAGTAAGAACAAACAAATCTGTGTTGAAAGTACAGCCAGAATGCTTCTTAGAAGTCAGGATGGCCAAACTTCATTTCTCATACTTTGAATATATTAACAGGAAGGACCAGCCCCTGGAGAAAGATATCATGCTAGGCAAAGTGAAGGGTCAGCAAAAAAAAGAAAGACCCCAAGGAGATGAACTGTTGCAGCAGTAATGTTTAACAACCATTGTGAGGTTGGCGCAGGACCAGGTAGTGTTTCTGTTGTGCACAGGGTAGCTAACAGTCAGAACTGACTAGATGAGACCTAACAACAGACCTTCTCTATGGACTGTCTGCTGCTGCTGGGAACCTTGCCTCTCCTGCAGTGCATCACAAATCATATTTTAAGTAGCCTTGGGTTGGTTATCTAGGCTACCAGGTGGGTCTTTATTTTGATCGTATGCATATAGAAAGAAACAAATCCACAACCTCTTTCCCTTGGGACCTGTAACATCCTAGCATCCAAAGGGTTCCTCCTATCTATAGTCCCTCTCCTTCGAGGTCAGAGCTACTGGATGATCTGGGCAGGCCTGGTGCCTTAGTATTTCAGCAGGAGCAACTCAGCAATTAATAGTGTAGCACCATTTATTATAGCTATTCTGATGAAGACAGACTTTTTTCTAAATTAAAACCCAAAACTTAGACAATTCTCACCAGATGAGACTAGTTTTGCTTTCGAAAGGAAATGAAAGATTCTGAGACTCCTGTGTATTTTTCTCGCAGGGGGACAGGCTGTTGTTTGTGTTGTTCAGTTGATTTTTCACCGTACAGTGGTGTCACGTGACAGAGGGCTGTCTAGGCTGTAACCTTTATGAGAACTATTCACTAGGTCTTTCTTCCTCAGAGTCACTGGATGAGTCTGAACCAACCACCTTTTGGTTGGCAGATGAGGACTTAGCCATTGTGCTGTCAGGGGTCAGGTTAGTAACTGACTTCAAATCTGGCCTCACCTCTCATGAGGTTACTGGTCAGCTAAAAACAGAGCCTATCTCTTTCTGCTGCCATTAATCCTGTCCTCTATGGATGTCTAAATTCTAGAAGCTTCTGGTGAAGGGTCGATTGGAGAACATGCTCTTAATCTTAAACTCTCACCCACCCCATCATAGCCCAGAACGTCATGGAAACTGAAGCAATGCTGTCTCAAGATCAGCCCTTCAAGCGAGATAAGCCCAACAGAGACGCAAACCAAACTGCCGGCACCATCAGGCGCTTCAATCGCTTCTTGTGGTAGCTGCAATGAAGGGAAAGCAAAAGCCTGAGGAAGTCCTTTGCTCATCTAGTTTCCTCTCATTTTACAAACGCTCGTGCTTCGGCCTCCCCACCCGCTTCATAGTTTCCACCCCTTGTAAGAGCAAGTGGAGCACTGGCACCACTTTACACAACTCCTTAACAGAAACTTCATCTCTAGCAAGTGGCTGAGAAAAGAGGCACACATGGGTACTAGTGGCCATACCAAAGTTCTCACATAACCAGAGTAGCACGGGCACATCCAGGGGGCAGTTAGACACCAAGCAGCCGGCGCAGGAAACTGTAAAGCTGGACAGAAAAGGCAGGCTTGTGTAGGTGTCCTCTGGAAACACCTGGGCTGACCCAAATTTCAGTCCAGGGCCTCTGGCTCTCCAAAAGACAACTCCTGCTCAACAATTGGCCTTTTGTGCGGCACAAAAGGGCTGGGTGGGAAAAAAAACTTAGTATTTCACCTGGAACCACGGCCTAGACTCCAGGACCAGGGTAGACTTGACTGGCCTGGAATCCTGCCAGCACAAAGTTCAATCTATTACAGGGGCCGAGCGCAGGCAAGAGTTACGCTGCGCCAGCCTACACACCATACCTCACCCACAGGTATGCGTGCAACCACACTCGCCCCAAACGCAAGAGGTCTGGGAGGAGGGCAGGCTCGGTAGAGGAAACTGTAGCTCACAAGGGGGCAGTGACTAGACCCAAGCAGGTCACACTACGAGTGAGTGGGCCGGTAAGTCCCAGCGTCAGGATTCCTCCGTAGCCCCATCTCCACCCGCCTGTCCTCACCACGCCCAGCTGAGAATAACTAACCTCCCCACAGAACTTCAGCCCCAGTTTCCCCACTATGGTAGGGCTAGGACCTAAGTCTTCGCCCCTACTGCCACTGGCCAAACCGCAAACCCTGCCTTCCCGTGAGCCAAAGCCACCGCCGCTCCCGGCCTAAATCTCCAGCCCAGGTCCCATCGCTCGGCTGACCTGCAGAGTCGCGCTCCCGAGAGCCCACAGCGGCGGACATTTCCTCGCCTGGTTCCTCCAGCTCCTCATCCCGCCGTGCGCCCCGCCCGCCCCGCGCCCTCCAGGCGCCCGCCCCCCCGCGCCGCCTCGGCCAATCGAGGACTCCTCTGCGCCATCGCCTCGCCCCAAACAGATCGGAGCCCGCCCACTGTAGTTGGGCCTCCTCCAATCCCCACCGCCCCTTCTGGGATGGATACCTGCCTCTGCCAATTCTCGCTCACCCGACCAGGTACCTGGGGCCAAGTTCCAACGCCGCGGAGTCGGCTGCTCACGCGACTCATGCTCCAGATCGGTGCACCTGTATCGAGACAGCCACAGAAACTCAGGGTTCCGCGTTGCCGGATCGAATCCTGTGGTAGGAACATGGAGGGAAAACCGTGGGCTTCAGGAGGAGCTGTTTCCACTTCTGAATGATTATGTGACTGTAAGCAAAATCACTCAGCCTGCCCTGAGCGTCTCCGAGCCTGTTTCCCTATGATACAGGGTCTTTCTTCGAAAGAAAAAGTGTGCAAGATCAATGAGGAGGATGTGGAATGTGTGGCTAATTGCACCACCTCCTTTCCCAAGAGAGCAGAAGAATTGTATGGCGTCCGGCTACCATTACTGAACCTTTTGATCCAAGATTCTATAGAAGAATCCTGATCAAGCAAGATATGCAGAGCAGAATACCAAATTCTCCTGGTCTCCAGACTTTCAGGAGCCAAGAGGACTGTGTGAAACCACTGACCTGAGATCACTTAGCACTTAAATAAAAAATATCCCCGAAGTCATTTTCAAGGCAAACAATAGTGTTTATAGCTTAACTAAGGAAAAAATATCCCCGAAGTCATTTCAAGTCAAACAACAGTGTATATAGCTTAACTAAGGAAAAAAGGTCTGTCTTGAGCATTTTGGTGTTTTAAGAAGTATCTATACAGAGATAAAAACGACATCATCAGCTTGAAAGATTAGAAAGGGACCTTACCAGGCAGTGAATCTATGCCAGAAAACCCTGGTGAGAATAATCATCAACCTCACTAAGCTATTCATGTAGAAATGGTTGAATTGATAATGTGCTGTGTGGTCTCTAAAGCAACAAAATAAAAATATTTTAAAGATAGTTTAGAGTGCTATTCCAAGGCAGGATTCCCGGTGTGGCACTGTAGGATCACCACTAGACTGCAAACCACAAGGTTGGTAGTTCAAACCCACCAGCTGCTCCTTGGAAACCCTATATAGGATCAATGAGTCAGAACCAACTGATGGCAGTAAATAATAACAATTCCAAGGCCTGCCCACACACATCTATACTTATTCTTTCAACCTAATGATAACTATATGTCAAGATTTGTGTTTTATATTTTTATCTCTTTTAATCCTTATAACAATTTTTATGAGACAAGGAGCTATTACCCTAATTTTATATATGAGGCAACTGAACTCAGAGAGATTAATTATCCAAGGTCACAGAGCAAATGCCAGAGTGGAAACTCAAGTATAAGTCAGGTTTAACTACCTGTAATCTCCATTTCTACCTGAACAATTCAGGGAGGTTGCTGCAACTATTCTCACCCTGGTTTGCTGACTTGTTCCTCCCTCGTGAGTGGAGTCCTGGTGTCGTTTTTAAAAGACCAAAATGCTGAAGCACTTGGCCACAAGGTCAGTTTGAAACACAGGTCAGCGATTCAAACCCACCAGCCGCTCCTTAGAAACCCTATACAGGGTTACTACCCTATGAGTCAGAACCAACTCTATGGGACTTAACAAAAACAACAACAATCTCCATCTGGAGCCCCGGTGTGGCACTGTAGCATCAGCTCTGGACTGCTAACCACAAGGTCAGCTGTTCAAACCCACCAGCTGCTCCTCTGAAACCCTATGCAGGGTCTCTGTGAGTCAATGGCACTTAACAACCACAATCTCCATCCATGGATGGTGCAAATGGTTAAGAGCTAGACTGCTAACCAAAAGGCTGGCAATACAAGTCCACCCAGAGACTTCTTGGAGGAAACGTATGGTGCTCTGCTTCTGAAAAAATCAGATAAAGTAGAAGTGGAAAACGGTTCTACTTTGAGCCACAGGGAGTCGCCATACATCAAGTCAACTCTACTGGTTCAACCTCGGTAAGCAACTCACAGACCACCCCAAATAAGCAAGCACTTCTAAATAAAAGTAGTGTGTTTGTTATGAAATTCCTTTAAGAAAAGTCCTCTGACTAGCCTGGAGAGACTAGAAGAACAGAAGATACTTCTTGAAAGAAAGACTGACAGGAAAAATACAAAATAATATAGTCAGACTGACTGATTACTCAAGAACAAGCAAATTGCTCACCCAGGAGACATCAAGGCAAGTGGTCAGGTTCCCTCAGAGCAAACCCCCTTCCAAGACTAAGACTCAGTGGGAATACACGCTCTGATTGGTGACCACGTCTGTCACCAATAAGGGGAAGTGAAGGAAAAACAGCAATGAAAGTGCAAGCTAAGCCCTCCAATGTTCAATAGACGCCTGTGAATCTGGGTGGAGACCTGGTTGGCCAGTAGTGTGGCAAGACCTGGGGACTCTTGGGCCCAGAGTCAGTGACATAGCCACAGAGGACTAGAGTGGAGAGTGAAGCATCCATCTGATAAAAACAGAGGGCATATGCGATAATACCCACTTGACCTGGCCTCAATGACTAGAAGAAGGAAGAAGAGGAAAAAAAAGAGTAATCTGATACAATTTGATTAACTTGACCTATACCTATGGATGCAGTAGCTCAAAAGAGTGAACAAATCTTTACAGCAAGGATCATTCCCACCCCCTCCATACACAACAGTAGACAGGGATGGGCAATTTGGACATTGGCTACCCAAAGGTGGGGGCCGGGAGGAGGGCTACAAAGGCAAGAAGTGACTGGCTTACAAGCTTTCAAGAGGGAACCTAGATCCAGAGGGCATGGAGGAAGGTAGAATCTCCACTGAGTAGT